ATTTTCATGGTACTTTAAAATGTGTTTCCACCAAGCTCAGTAATATAGGCCTCCCATCATTCCTTCACTCCAGACAGGAAAAAGATCCTTCTGTCTTTCATATTCAAAGCACCCTTTGCTCAGGCTCTCTCGCATGCCTATACAAAGTAGCCACATAAGACTGCGCAAGTGGTGCACTGCACAACTTCAGAAGGTGCCATTGATATGTAACTTGCATAACCATAACCACAGGTGGGCAGTACTGCGCCTGGACCTCTCTGGAAGAGAATTTCAAGTTCAATGAGTTGTGAGAATCAAATGAGAGAGGGACATTTGATATATCTGTATTGGATTTTTCTCTTCTATTTAAAAAGTTTAAGAGAAAAACGCAAGATGGTACATTTAAAGTATATAGTTAAGTGTCTGGCATGTACCTATTCCTTTCCTTCCCTTTGCTTGTACTAACTTTATAAAGTTACTTGAAATACTGAAGAGGTTCAGACAAATCATGTAGGATCCTTTGTTCCTAAAAAAAAAAAAAGTGACTTTAAATCTTTGTCTAATTGAGAGGAGAGGAAAGGAAAAATGAATGGAACAAGCAAGCTGTATCCAAAAACCCTCTCCTTCCAGATGTTGTCAGCTTTCACTGTGCCATGGAATCACCGGGGAGTCTTTAAAAGACTGATGACTGGGTCCAAACATGGCCTGAGAGAAGGATGTTTTGGAGCTTCTCAGGAGAATCTAACATGCAGCCAAAGATGAGAACCATGGGATCTACACATACCATACCTGCAACTCAATTGATGTGTTAACATTTGTCATTAAAGAGGTTCATTTCTTGTTCTGTCCACCTCCATGTTAGGATACTAGGAATTCACACCACAGCACCATTTCAGCTTAATTAGCTCACATATTTCCCCTCTCTTGAGATATAAAATTTTGAAGAAGGCAGAGTGGGCAAGTTAGCAGCAAATAACATCTTATTCAAGGTAGCTATGACATCTCTACTCAAAGGGACTCCAGAATCTCATTTACGTTGTCATTTCAAACCACTCACATTCCTACTTATGATGAATTAAAAGACACAGAGATTGAATTTTCTTCTTAATTAAAGAACTGAGTCCCCTACACTCACATCCATTCATGTTAACCATCTAGTACATGAAAGCCAGAACAATTATCTATTTTTAAAGAGATGGGATATTGCTATGTTGCCCAGGCTGGAGTACGGTGGCTATTCACAGGCACAATCCCACTATTGATCAGCACCAGAGTTTTGACCAGCTCCATTTTGGACCTGGGCCAGTTCATTCCTCCTTGGGCAACCTGATAACCCTTGGCTCCTCAGAGGTCACCATACTGATGACCAACAGTGCAGACACCTGATTGGCAAAGCACACCACAGACCAGAACTCTTGCACTCAAGCAATCCTTCTACCTTGGCTTTCCCGGTAGCTGGAATTATAGGTGTGTGAAACCACACCTGGCCAGGACTATTATCTATTACTTTACACCCTTTCTCAAAGAAATTACTAATCTAAAAAAGGTTAACACAGACTTGAGGATTTAAGACCCAGGTTTTCTTCCTGGCTCTACCTCTTTCTAGTTATGTGACCTTAGGCAAGTCAACTAACCTCTCTGTGTCTCAGGACCCGCACCAAAGAGCCTGGTATTATTATACAGATTAACTGAGATAATGCATGCACTTTGAGGAAAACAGATCATAAAGGCTAGATAGCTGGTGAGTATTATTACTACAAGAGCAAAGAACTTGAAGAACTTTAAGAGGAAGAACAGGTCCTCGCTCAGGTGCAGAAACAGATGATGGGGGCCACTCACACCTGTAGAGTGGTGTAAGACCAATGCTCTAAAGTAGAAAGAATCAGACTTGAGGCTCAAAAAACATGGTTTGACTCCCAAGCTGATCACTTACTAACCTTTTGAGACTCAATTTCCTCATCTCTAACAGTGAGTTGTTGCAAGGATTAATTAGGATATTGTGAGACTCCTGGTACATATTAGGCACTCTGTGAATGCTATTGAAGTAAGAACTCTCCAGTCAAGGAAAGGGTTAACTCATATCCTATCTCCGTGGTTGTCCCTACAAACACTGAGACCACAAAAGCAGATGACTATTGTTGGTCAATGATAGCTCATGGTGATATTATTAAAGTAACAAATTCCAGAAACACTTAGTCAAGGGAATGCCAGTTTCTTCATATTTTTCTCAGCGGAGTAATTTTCAATTCTTTTTATGTTATTTATTACTTTTCTCTAAAGTCTGTTTTCATGGTTTCTTTCAAATTGTGAAGTCTGTGATGATCCTCATTTTCCATGTGACTTTTACTAGTAAAAATTTACACAGCTGGACAATGTGATAGACTTGTTGAACCACCTTGACAATTAATGCTTCCATTATGAGCTCTAAATACATTAATGCATGTGGCTAAGGTTCATGCATGCCCAAAGATCATCCATAATAATATGTGTCAGAGACCACCAGGGTTGATTTTTCTGTCTTAACCAAGAGTGCTCATATGAATCCCAAAATAGGTGCTAGCTCTGAGACTTGATTATCTTCCAAAATCATGATGAAAATACATTAATTATTCAACAATTAAAAAAGTATTTATTTAGCACTTAGCCATGATTTTCAGCATAGATGGGGGAGAGATAATTATTCAATAATTAATTGAGACAGATTTCTCCACCCAATTGGATCTTCTAAATAACTAAAATTAGCCTTTTAAACATCTAATATCCTTTTTATTACAATCATTTTTGTTAGTCCACGATACCACATATTCTTACACAATCTAGGCACTAATTATAGGAAAAACTTTTCCATTTAATAAGTATAGTAAGCACCATGATGGAACCACACTCCCAGGACAATTGACTGCTACTATTCAGCATCCCTAAGAAGACACCCCCTAAGGAAAACATATAGTCAACCATTCAGGCTGCTATAACAAAACACCTTAACTCGGGTAATTCATAAACAAAAACTTATTTCATTAATTTCCAGTTCTGGAAGTTGGAAAGTTCTGGCTCAAGGTGCCAGCAGATTCAGTGTCTGGTGAGGGATCACTCTCTATTCCTAAGATGGCACCTTGTTGCTGCCTCAGTTCCCTCATACCCTTTTTATGAGGTCACGAATCCCATTCATGAGGATAGATCCCTTATGACTTAGCTCCTCAGGACTCCATTTCTTAATACTATCAACATTGGCAATTAAGTTTCAATATATGAATTTTGAGGGGACACACATCAACCAAAAAAAAGAGATTAGTCACAAATTTGAAGCTTGGGAAAATTTTAAAAATTAACATTCTTACACCTATTAACAGGTAAATCAGCTTTATCTTCCCATTTCCAGAAATTTAGGATGCGCCTCTGGGGTTGCCAATTTAATGGACACTTCATATAAGTTTTTATTTCATGTAAGAACAAAAACCAATAATGTTGCACAAAATAGCACCAGATTACATTTACTTGCATGATATGTTTCAGAATTAAAGTACAATTCAAAGATACCGGGAAAGTTGAGAATGCCCTAAAGCAGTAACTATCAAACAGTTTTGTCCTTGACTTAGAGAAAATACATACATTTGCATCATGACCAAGTACATATATATTAAAACCAAGTTTTTTACAACACAGCACTTATCCTTAATTCATGTAATTCTATTATTTCACATTACTTAATCTTTAATTCACTACATTGCTTTTACAATCTGTTAAATGGGTTGAGATCTTTTTCCTAAAAAGTAGTGGTCTAAAGGGCAGAAAGGAAAACATCTACTCTTCCCAGAAAAGAAAGATACTTTGCCTTCGATCTTCAACAAGTGCTTTTTGTTTTTGAGTTGGAGTCTCACTCTGTCACCCAGACTGGAGTGCAGTGGCCGCTCCCGGCCACCACAGCCTTGACCTGCTGGGCTCCAGCAATCCTTCCGCTTCAGTCTTCCAAGTAGCTGGAACTACAGGCGCGCACTACCACACCCGGCTGATTTTTTGATTTAGAGATGAGGTCTCTAAAAAAATTTAGAGATGAGGGCTTGCCAAGTTGCCCAGGTGGGTCTTGAACCTGCGGGCTCAGGCAATCCACTCACCTCAGCCTCCCAAAGCGCGGGATTACAGGCTGAGCCACCGAGCCCGGCAACAAGTGCTTATTTAAGATGTTCTGGAAGCAAAAATGGTATAACTTGAATGCTTCAAGCTTTAACACATGGTCAAGTTAACGTTAAGATCAGAATCCTCCAAGTCACCAACTTTTGATGTCAGAAGTTTAGTTCCACTCAGCGTGTCCTTTATCAAGAATTTCTGAGAATCCAAGGGCGCATTTTAGATATGCCCACAAATCAACCCCGGCTGTTGCTCACTGTCACGGCCAGCAGACCCTGGACTCCACAGCTGTCACCTTGGTGCCCCCACTGCCAACTCAGGCAGAGTGCTAGTTATGCTGCTGCAGCATAACTAGGAAGAAAGACAGTATTTTTTTCCTCTGCACCTGATGAACAAGGGAAAAGTTGGCCTCAGTCACTCAGGAGGTCCTCCAAGTCACACCCTCAGCCCTTTCCCCTCACTAGTTATTCACACTGCCCTGCTGCCTGCTCAGGAAGGGTTCCAGGGTTGGGAACACACTGTACCTACCACAACTCACAACTCTTCTTCCTCCCCTCACACTGGGGCAGACGCCTTGTCCCGTGCTGACAGTGAATCCTCTCCCAGGAGCCCCGTCATCCCTGGACTTCTATCATCTTCAATCCATCAGGCCCATCTGATGTGTCAAATTACAGCTGCACAGAGTATTCAGTCCTCTTTCCCAGTAGGCCCCTCAGACTTCATGTGAGTCACTGAGTATCTGCATTAACTCCAGATGGCAGATGCATCTCAGTCTGGGTATAACCCAGTTAGAACTCTTATAAATAGACTGTTCTAACTTTAAGAATCATGCCGAAATCAAAGATAAAGACACAACAATCATGTGGAGATGGTTTAGAATAGAATCTATCTAAAGTGGGTTTGGGGGTAACTGACTCCAGCTAAGTCACTTCAAGACTTCTGTTATCCAGCCACATTATTTAACCTATGCTGGCTAGTCTAAGCTTTACTCCTTTCCTGCTGTCATGTTTCCAAGAATACAAATAATTTTCTCCCTGAGAAGACTATTAATCAGGGCAGAGATACCAACTTTGCCTGTTTAGCACCCAAATAAATTCAACCAAACCAGAGGTCTCAGTTAAAATCAAAACCTTTTAAAGTTTTTGGCCTGGTTTTCTCGCACAATACTGCTACTAAATCCAAAGAAGGAGGGACAGAGTTTCTAAAAATGGTTCAGCTGGTTTCTCATACTTCTTACCAAAGAATTATCTGGAAGCTAAATATGTAGATTGCATTTTCAGTTTAAAAAATAATGGAAAAAAAATATTCAGCATGATATACTTCATTGCTTTCATTTTTTAAATCTTTGTTTTTATTTACTCTCAAGAACAATCGCTTCCCCATGAGAACTTTACAATAGTGGTTTGTAGTTTATTCCAGAGATCACAACAAAATTTCTCCTAAGAACTTGGGAATAAGAGACATAAGAGTGGTTTCTGAGAAATAAACCTTAAGATCAACAAAATGACAGGTAGATAAACAAAAGTCACCTTTAAAGAAAAGAGTGGTTCTTGCTCTATAAGACTTGAAAGAACTTAACCAAAATCATTTCTAAAGGAGTCAAACAGGATGAGGGATATGAAGGGGGCAAGCCATAGCCATCTACAGAAAGAATAATCCTTGCTAGACACTCTCCAGGCAAGATCCCCAAGACTTCTGAACTACTCACAGACTCTCCCTAACAGGAGAACAACGCCCCAAACACACTTGGGCCTTGATTCATCCAATGCCTTTGTCCTAATTTAGTCCTCACTGAGAAACCTTCCTTATGTGACTTACTGTACAAGCCTGTCTATGGGGAAAGAAGGCACTGGCCATACAGACATGGAGTCACCTATACAATCACAGATGTGAATTGAACCCCCCAACTAAATGACTGGCCCTGTCCTAGGCAACAGAGATACAGTGGAGAATTAGACATTTGAGGTCCTCGGGGGAAACACAAACAAGTAAACAAATAAGTAAGATAATTGCAACTAGTGATAAGGACCATTTAAAAAAATTAAGCTGAGTAATGGATCAGATTGGGGGGTAGATGTTTTAAGAATAAGGATCAGAAATGGCTTGTTTGAAAAACTGATGTTTAGTGTCAGACCAGAGACAGAGCATACCCTGAGTATTTTCCAAAAGCATTTTTCTACTAAGTTTCTGAAAATGCATACATTGACACGATAGTAGAGACAACCTTTGAAAAGACTTAGAGCCAGCAATGTGAAAGGGAATGTGAAGTGTGTAGACAAGTTAGGTAAAGGGCAGCTTCTTTTTTTGTGCTTGCCCTTCACCAAACACAGCACAGGCCCTTCTTCCTCACTTCCAACCCCTGCCCAACCCCCTTGCAGGCTTATTCCTCCAGATGTTAGAACATGGCTGTGCTTCTGGCTGACAGCTTGATGAAGATCCAGAATCTGCCAAATAACAATGGGGGAAGAGAGTTTTCAGGCAGGGAACACAGGAAGAGCTACGAGACAAGAACTAACTCAACATGTCTTTGCAACTTCCATTGTGCCTGGAACTTTAAGAACAAAAGAGAGGGTAACAGGAGCCATAGCCAGAGAAGCAGCCAAGAGTAGAGTCATAGGAAAATATTTGGGTTTTATTGTAAGTCCAATAGGAAGCAAGGAAGTGGCATGATCTAATCTAAAGTTATAAAGATCTGTTTAGGTACTGGGTGAAGAATAAACTGCAAGGGTAAAGTTAAAAGAAGCAGCAAGAACATTAGTTCGGAGGTTCTAAAAGTAACTAGGCAAACTGTGATGTAAGGTGACTAGAGTGACAGCAGTAGTGTTTGGGAAAAGCAAGTGATTTTAGGTCATATTTTGAAGATGGAGTTTTAGGACTTGTTCACAGACATATGTGTGAGGTGGAGAGTCAGACATTAGCTTGGCAGAGTGGTGTGGTGCATTTGACTGAAATTAGCATGACTGGGAAAGGATTAAGAACTCTTTGATGAGCTCGAAATGCCCACTAGAGACACAAGTAGAGACGTAAGTTAGGCAGCTGGGACTACTGGAAAACCCCCAATGAATATATAAATTTAAAAATGATCTGTACCTAGCTGATCTTTAAAGCCATGAGCATCCCATCTTTGTGATGGTTATTTTCCAGTATAAATGAATAAATTGGGTAACTCATCAAGAAAGTGGGAGCCAAGCTGAGATGCCCCATAACAGATGGCTAGCCTTGCCTAGGCTGGGCCTGTCTCCCTGCTTTGCCCTAGGCCTTAATTGAGAGCTGTTTCCACAGAGTTGTTTTGTTGTGTTTCCACACATTAAATACCATGTCCAGTTCCCCTTTATTTTTATAGATCAATGTAGAAATCTGAAAAAGCGACCTGTATTTAAAATATTTTTGAAAATATTTTAAAATATGATGTTTATATAGTTAAATAAAAATAAATTACATAAATAAAGGGGGAACTTAACTAAGTAACTTAAAAGATAAAACTAAACCCTTGTGTAGACTGTTTTAGAGGCCACACACAGTGACTAGAGCTCCTTGACTTTGGTCTTGATGTGTAAGCGTTCTATTCTTACAGAATATTTGAGAACATCACAGAAAACATTGGTTAAGTCACTTGATGAAATTAGCACTTAAAAAGTTATGATAGAAATCCTAGAATGAAATGAACATAGGAAATATCAATTCATCTCTTTAACAGTCATTGATTAACTACTATGTGATTACTGTGTTGACTTCATGCCCTCCTGAGGCTCCTTTCTCAGCAGGGGAGTTAGATCACACTAAGAGATGGAGCCAATGAGGTAGGGGTGAGATACTTTTTTACCAAGATGAGAAGGTGTTAGGCAGTTCCAATAAGAAAAAGACAAATCACCCTAGAGGTGGTTTCTCAAACACTAAATATAACCCTATGTTAGTTGTACAAAAACTTTACAACTCTGTTTGGAACTAAGCTTTAATTATCAGTTCCAAATTATTTTAATTAAATATAGTTAATTGACCCATTCACATCTTTAAGAGTGCTTAACAGTTTTTTGCTGCGCCTTCTTTTTGGAAGAATTGGAGTTGGAGTTGGAGTCTCACTCGGTCGCCCAGACTGGAGTGCAGTGGCCGCTCCCGGCCACCACAGCCTCGACCTGCTGGACTCCGGCGATCCTTCCGCCTCAGCCTTCCGAGTAGCCGGAATTACAAGCATGCGCTACCACGCCCGGCTGATTTTTTAATTTATTGTAGAGATGAGGTCTCGCCAAGTTGCCCAGGCGGGTCTCGAACCCGCGGGCTCAGACAATCCACTCACCTCAGCCTCCCAAAGGCGCGGGATTACAGGCTAAGCCACCGAGCCCGGCTCTCCGCTGCATCTTCTAAAGATATTTCCATTTTGCCCCTATTCTCTTTTATTATTTACCACCTTTTCTGTATAAATCTGAAAGATTCCAGAGCGCAATAGTTGACTTTCCTTACAATCCCAACCCTGCATTAATTATGGAAACCACATGTAAGTGAAGCATTGAAGGGTACAGAGAAGGGGAGGAGGCAAAGCAGAGCCTCGAAATTTCTATTTCACTCTAACCTTAAGGAGTTGGAGAGCTGCTCTTCCAATTAAATGAACCGTGTCTTAGGGACTGAGTCACATCAGTTCCTGCTGCCACAGTCGGAGGCTGGCTGGGGTTTGCATTCTGTGGAAGCTGTTTCCTAGCCATGTTTCTACCCTTTTGTACTTCTTGTCCAAGAACCTGCAGTAAAGAAACACCAGGCTTGCTCAACCTGGGAGAAGCCCAGCCATCATCGAGATTCTGGCTCTTTTGTTCACTCTCTCTCCTTCGCCAGCCCCTCCCTCTCTCGCTTGAACACTTTCTAAGGCAGAAGTTGGGCCCAGGATCTTTTGAATCAGCCTGAGAAAGCTGAGCCTGCTCTGCTCTAGGCTTTGGGGTATATACTTTCTTTTAACTGCGAGTCTTATCCTTGCAAGCTGATGGCCAGATCCTGTAAGCCATTTAAGTGTTAAGATCCAAGAATGTTTGGTCTTTTGCTTCAGATCATTTAGGATGAACTACTTTAGATAAAGGAATTTTCCTTCGGATCCTTCTAAATTCACGAGAAATTTATATTGGGGTTTGTGGCAAATACCCTGATTGGCTATAAACCTACCTTGATTTGCAGTTCATTGACCTGAGCATGTATTCCTCTTAAGGACCTGGGAGAGAGGAGTATCTATGGCAAGGCAAGATTCACAGTATTTTGAGGTTCCTTCACCCAAAACTCTATTAATAGCACTCTTCGCTAGTACCTCTATTTCATTACTTCCAACCGTCAGGCTTTTTGAGGGCTCTAGAGGCCATAGACATTTTTTAAATGTCTGAACTTTAGATGAGTTGTTATAAAAAAAAAAAAAAACACCTTTATTCAATATGATGCTTTGTGCCTGGATGAAAGAACTCATTCGGAAAGAATACTTCCCTCGCCACCATGTCAGAATCCATTGTTTGCCACAAAGGCAGCATCAGCTTCAACAGAACATAACAGTCACATACACATACTCACAATCACAGCTCAGTTTGATATCTTATCTATGAGAGTCTTTTATTAAACCCTTTGTAATAGTTTTAGATGCTTGTATTCTTTATAACTGATTTCTATGGCACTATACAAAAATGCCCCACCCTTTCCCCAGTTCTGTGCACTCTCCCCACAGGCCAGTTTTATTCTAGATGATCAGCACATGAAGTAAAATCAGAAAAGAATTAATTCCATCCATGTTTACCTACGAAGATAATGGTTTCAACCCTGTTACTCTATTTTTTTCTTCCTGAAAGCTTCCTAACTGGGAATTACAAAACTCAGTCTCCAGGTGCCACAGCCTTTTGAAAAACTTGTGTCCTAAGAGGACTAGAGACCTGCCTTACCTTTAGTTGAACTAGATGCACATCCACATGCTTACTGTCTGAATCCTGCTGGACTGAGTAGGTCAGATCCCGGACCCTCTCGGAGGTCATCCGGAGCCAGGTTTCAATTTCAGGCAGGTGGAGGACAATCTTCCAGTCAGCCCCTGTGTGCAGTGGAGGTGGCTTTTCGTACTGCTGGTCAGAGTCTATGTCCTTCATTTCCTCTTCTCTCTCACCCTGCTCCACAGTGGGGGTCACGTTGATGGCCATGGGTGAAGCATCAGTAGCCATAGGATCCAGATCCTGTGACCTCATGGGGGAAAGTGTCACGCTCATGGTTAACATGGAGAAGCCTAAGCCTTACTTCTTTCCAAAACAGCTGAAAGGCAAGAAGAAAGAAGGAAGCAAGAGTCAGTCAAGATTGCCAAATAAAGAAACGATACTTCACAGAAGAAACAAGATTTCTAAATTAAGCCAGATTTCTAAATTAAGAAACCATAGCTCATAACAAAAACAGAAAGAGGTGTTTTGATTTTCTAGCCCCAGGAGCCAGCATATAATAGGAACACAAAACCACTGTGGTATTGCCGATCTTCACACCCATGCTTCCCTAATTCTTCATAACCAAACCCTGAGTTTTGATTGGGCACATTTCTGCCCAGAATTTAAAACTACATTCCCTATCTCCTTTGCAGCTACGTATGGCCATGTGACTAAGTTCTAGCCAATGAGATGTATATAGACATTCTGAGCCGGGCTATATAGACATTCTGAGCCGGGCTCGGTGGCTCAGCCTGTAATCCCGCGACTTGGGAGGCTGAGGTGAGTGGATTGCCTGAGCCCCAGGTTCGAGACCCGCCTGGGCAACTTGGCGAGACCTCATCTCTACAATAAATCAAAACTTAGACGGGCGTGATAGCGCATGCCAGTAATTCCGGCTACTGGGAAGGCTGAGGCAGAAGGATCGCCGGAGCCCAGCAGGTCGAGGTTGCGGTGGCTGGGAGCGGCCACTGCACTCCAGTCTGGGCGACAGAGTGAGACTCCGACTCAAAAAAAAAAAAGAAAAGAAATTCTGAGAGAGCTGCTTAAAGGAAGCTGACTTAATCAGGAGGGACCCCCTTTCTGCCCCTTCTACGTTTACTCCTCTTTCCAGCCTGTAACATGGACTTGATGACTGGAGCTCCAGCTGCCAACTGAGACCCAAAGATGCTTTTGAGTTTGCTGGGTGGAGGATGGTGGAGGATGGAGGATAGGAACATGGGTCCCACATGATATTGAGGAGCTACTACTGTACCAGTCCTGACTGCTGCCCTGAACTTCTTACATGTGAGAAGAAAACAAGATTCTATCTTGTTTAAGTCACTATTATTTTGAGCTTTTCTACTATAAGTATCTAAACATCATTTTGACTATAACCAATATATTCAATACATGGGATAGTCAGAGAGGGAAGATGTTCTAATCGCCAGAACAATGAGCTGAATTTAAAAATGTTACCCTTTTCCATGATTTGTTAGATAAAGAGATAACCTGTGGCAATTCCAAACCTTTACTTTCCTGAAAAATACAAATCATGAATTATATCAAACAGATCTAATTAACTCTCAGCTTAAATTATACTAATATTTGGTTGGGTTGAATATTTTAGAGGCATTTAGAATTTCAAAAGTAATAAGTTGCTCTGAAACACATAAGAGTAAAATGTTAATCAAATATGCCAAAATACAATCTACAGACTTAATGCAATACCCATTAAATTACCAGCAGCATTCTTCTCAGACCTGGAAATGACAATACAGGAATTCATATGGAAACATAAATAGCCAAAACAATCCTTGGCAAAAAGAAAAAACAGGCTGGGCTCGGTGGCTCAGCCTTTAATCTCAGCACTTTAGGAGGCTGAGGCAAGTGGATTGCCTGAGCCTGCGGGTTCGAGACCGGCCCGGGCCATTTGGCAAGACCTCATCTCTACAATAAATCAAAAATTAGTCAGGCATGGTAGCACTCGCCTGTAGTTCTGGCTACTTGGAAGGCTGAGGTGGAAGAATCACCAGAGCCCAGCAGGTCGAGGCTGCGGTGGCCAGGAGTGTGCCAGTCTGGGTGATGGAGTGAAACTCCAACTGAAAGAAAAAAACAAATGGGAGTTATCACACTCCCAGACTTTAAACTTTATTCTAAAGCTACAATAATCAAAACGGACTGGTACCGGTACAAGAACAGGCATATAGACCAATGAAACAGGATAGAGATTCCAGAAACAGAACTTCAATTTCTCAATGACCTCATCTTCGACAAAGCCTCCACCACCAGCCACTGGGGAGAGGAAAACCTATTTCAGTAAATGGTGCTGGGAAAACTGTGTGACCACATGCAGAAGATTAAAACAAGACCCCTACCTATCACCATACAGAAAAATCAACTCTAAATGGATCAAACTATAAAAATAAAACTTCAAACTATAAGAACCTTAAAGAATGCAGGACACACCCTTATGGAAGTTGGAATTGGCAACTAATTTCTGATCAAATCTCCACGTGCCTATGCTATAAGAGATAAGATAGACAAGTGGGACCTCATCAAACTGACACGCTTCTGCAAAGCCATAGAAACCATCAAGAAAGCAGGGAGACAGTTCACAGACTGGGAAAAAAATTTGTCAACTCTATGTCTGAAAAAGGCCTAACATCTGGGATCTACAAGGATCTCAAATATGCCATAAAGGAAAAAACAAATAGCCCCATTACAAAGTAGGCAAAAGATATGAATAGATACTTCTCAAAAGAAGACATACAAGCAGCCAACAGATACATTTTAAAAATCCTCAGCCTCACTAATCATCAAAGAAATGCAAATTAAAGCCACACTGAGATATCACCTAACTCCAGTCAGGATGGCCATCATCAATAACTCAAAAAACAACAGATGCTGGAGAGGATGCAGGGAAAAGGGAACACTTCTGCACTGTTGATGGGAGTGTAAACTAGTATAGCCTCTGTGGAAAACAGTGTGGTGATTCCTAAAAGATCTAAAAATCACCCTTCCTTACAACCCTGCAATCCCCCTACTGGGAATAAACCCAGAGGAACTCAAATCACTCTATTAAAAAGATACCTGCACACATATGTTTATTGCAGCATTATTCACAATAACAAAAACATGGAACCAACCGTGCTGCCCATCAAAAGAGGACTGGATTTTTAAAATGTGGTGCATATACATAATGGAATATTATGCAGCCATAAAGAAGGACAAAATTACTAAATTCACAGCAACTTGAATGTACTTAGAGTCTATAATACTGAGTGATCTATCACAAAAACAAAGAACTGAGTATCACATGTTGTCACTCATAAGCAGACCTTGAACAATTATTGTAATACTATAAGAAAAGGATTGGCAGTAGTGGGAAACTGCTGGGATGGGATTGGCAGTAGTGGGATTCTGCTGGGGGAGGGGCGGGCACACCTCATCAACAAGGGTACCTGCATAATGAATTGTACTCCACATATTTAAAATAAAAAAATTTAAAAATAAAAATAGAGACAAAAAAATATATATGCCAAAATGACATAATGTGTTTCATAATAAAGTAAGGTTGCTTTTTAAGGTAAAGTTGATTAGTTAATGATCCAGCTATTAAATTTGCCCTTCTTCTGGAATCAGTCTAGTAGAAAATAACAACTTAAACAGTGTTTAGTTTTTTTTTAATAAACACTGTTTTTGGTCTTAGAAGCAGCCTCTTCTACCCAAGGCAATGGATTTCTTTTTCTTTTATAAGTTTCTTTCTGGTTCTAAACATTCAAGTTAGTATATAACTTATTCTCCCAAAGATGAAAGGTGACTGACCAAAAGATCAGAAATTAAACATGATTGTCAAAAAGAAGTTCATATTTCTTTAGTAACAAATAATCACTTGATAACAAAAGAAAAATTATTTTTACAAAAAAATAGGGGGAGGGGAATCAAGAAAGCTCCCAATTTGACAAGGAACATGTCACTTTCCATACAGGAATGGGCACGGGGAATAAAAAGATGTGCTGAATCAAAAAAAGCCTTAAGACTAAGTTACTCCTATAACATATTACTTCAAAATCCTTCTAATACTGTAATGTAATCCCCTTCCATAATTTCTTTGGCATATAACTTTTGAATGAAATGATGATGAGGCTTACAGATGAATTTTGAAAGCAAAGTTATTTACAAATAGCAAAGTATATACCCTAACATAGGCTTATCACTTTGGTATCTGCCTTAGAGAATGAATTTAGGCTTAGATTCAAAAGTTTTCTCCACCTGATTGCAAGAGAAAGAAACCCACATTTTTAACATCCTTGTATTCAGTCTTTAAAATAGCAATAATATTAGATTTGACTGTTGGTCAAGATAACAAAATTTCACTGGGAAGGATAAAACTCTAGGAAAAGAGAGCTACCGTATCACTTCATAAACAACGTGCCAGCCTCAGACAGGCTCTGATTCTGATATCCCAGAACACTTTTAAATTATTAATCAGTTTGCTCCCTCTGGGGAATGTTTAGAATCACAATCCCATAGAAGGAATCTGATACACAAAGGTTAATAAGGGTTTCTAGTTCAAGGACATAGAACTGGTTATAAATGAAGAAGACATTGGTATCGTAGGGGTTCCCTCTTTTAAGAAACCAGATTCATCCAAACCAGAAAGCTAAATGCCACAGCAGTGTACAATGAACTGTTTCAGCTACCCTTGTGTTCGCTTACTCCCAGACCCTTGCCCAAGAGCCCTGCACAACTGACAAACAGTGCTAGGTTGTTGTGTTTTCTGTAAAATTCTAAATCAAAGCAGGGCCGTCTTTGGAATACATATCCCACTATAAACTAAAAAACATACCAAAGAATTAGCTCAATGCAATTTATATCCCAGCCTATAATATTTCTATATGTATCATCAGGCTGTGCACCACCTAAGTACAGTGCAGTTTTATATGATTTGAGGCAAAATGCTCCACCTTTCTGGACCTCAGCTTCCTCATCTATAAAATGGCAAAATTGAACTAGATAATCAATCCATGATTGCCTAGGGTTATTTATCTAGAGATTTTAAAGCTCTTGGAAGCTTCCCGCCTATGCTGAGAGCTATATAACTACTAAATAATGGCCCTCTATTTTGCCAAAACACACAAGTGATATCAATAGATTTGTCCTACTTAATGGAAAGAAATAAACTGTTGTGAAAAAAGCATTTTGTAAATCATTATTTACATAGTATATGTTGCTAATTCTTCCCAGAGGTATTAACATAAGAGATTCTCCCTCCTAGGAGTTTGATTCTTAAGACTGACAAACAGATGTGGTCATATATGTATAGGACAACCATAATAAAATAAAAATATTAGACAAAAGTGTAACTAAAGAACATAGGGTTTAGGTCATACATGTGTAAAGGGCAAAGAAACCTTACATTCAAGCTATGAAGCAAAATTTCCCTGCACCTATAAAATTTCAACCTGGTTGTGATGCTTCCACATTTAACTGATCAGACTGTTTATAAGAGAAGCTCTGTAACTCAGAGAAGAAAAGCAAAGCAGTGCTTTACTTAAGTCTAATTTCAACTTTTGTCTACTTATTTTCCCTCACAAATACATTTGCCAC